CAGTAGAAGGCTTTGTATATTAGCACAGGAGGTTTAATCAATAAGTTGTTATCACTGATTATGTATTTGGGTAAAATCCAAATTCAAAGATTATTCAAAGATGTCTATTTTTAGCAACATAGATAACATTTCTTAAGAAACAATCATGTTTGAGTAAGTAATATTTGAGCACGCCGAGATAGATAATCAGGTGTGATCTAATATATTTGCCAACCTAGAGATCATTGACATTGTATTCTGTTCGTCTGAGCTTGGTTCTCAATATCATATAATCACATGATAATTAAATGATTCTGTAACCATCTGGTCAAACCACCGTCGAGTGCTTCCAACTGTTATCTATTATTTATCATTTTTGAGTACACGAGCCTGCACATATGACATAATACTGACCTATACTTTTGAACCATTATGGACTGATCAATTTGAATGGTTACATCACTGTGCTATTGTACGGACCTCTTGTACCAATCACTTAAAAGTGGCATTTAATTTAAATGATAACTATTGTGATAATTTAACAAGTCAATTGAATTCAAGATAACTACCCCTGATAATCCCTTTTATCTTACTTTATGTGCCATTTGTGATACCATTGGATTCAACATTTTACTGAAAATTAATAATGATTTTTATTTATAAATATAAAAAATCTTGGAATATTTAAAAGTCATTACTGATGCAAATATTGATAATGTTTTATATGTGCCTTCATCTCTATCTATTCATTCTATTGGTGTTAATAGTTTGTTTCTACTACATAGATAATATATAATATTGAATGTGCAACAACCCTTTTGCCAAATTATTCATTTTAGTGGTGTCTTCAACTACAGTGTGTTTCATAATGACTGTCCCCCATCCACAGCCAATCCTAGATCGCGTGGACCCATAATCTATATGCCATAGTAAAGGTTATTCAATTCTGGACTTATGTGCCAAATGTAAGCATGACTGGTCAATGAAAATATAATTTGTAAACTTATGTTTGATGGTCACTTTACTCAGTTTATGTGATTTGTGGCTACCATTTCTAATGGATTAAAGAGAGGAGTACATTGCTGTATAATCCATTAAATCACCAAGAGCTCTCTGGGTACTTCTTTGAAATATTTAATACTTTTGTCTTCCAAATATCATTAGGATATATCCTCAACATCCATTGAATGTTATAAGTTGTACATTACTTTAGATACTATTGTATTGAGGCATGGTTATCATAGCTGTTTGCAGGGCACGTGGGTAATTTTGGAAAAAAAGTAGCTATCAGATTCTATGCTTAATGTAAAATGGGTACCTTTTGTAGAGGTATATGGCAAGTTGTAAAGACTATTGAGCTTATTCAAAATTGTTTTAATTAGTCCAGAATTGAACAAGCTTTCATATGATATACAACATATGCTGGTATGCTATTTGGGATTGGTGGTTGATGGAGGGACGGTCATTATGAAACACCCTGTATATAGTTATTTATGTGTTTATTAAGTGCAATAAAAATACAACATTAGCAATTTCCTCTAGGATTCCATACACACTTTCTTCTTGTTTTGCAGACTATGACTACCTTGTAATCGGAGCAGGACCAGCTGGTATTCAGTTGGCATACCAATTCGAAAAGACCAACTCTAGTTACCTCATCATCGAGCGTAACCACGTCCCAGCCTCTTTCTTCCATGAATTTCCTCGACACAGAGAACTCATCTCTACCAACAAGATACACAATCTGTTTGACGAGCCAGAGTTCAATCTGAGACACGACTGGAACTCATTGTTGTGTGACGATGAGGCATTGCTCTTCAAGAACTACTCAACCAAGCTTTTCCCACCAGCTGACGCCTTGTGCAGGTAAAGTTTAATCTATTAAATATTTGACATTGTCAGTGATTTTGTTACAACGTAACAATGTAATATTTATTCAATCTTGGATCTATATAAGTATACAGCTGCAAAAACATTTGGAATTTACAAAATATTTTTCATATTGGAACATTACAGTCAGTTAATACTTTTCTAATTTACATTTTCTATATCATTCAGAAACTTCAATGACTTCTGCCAAAGATACCAGCTGAAAATCCAATACGGAACACATATCAATAAAATCTCTCGTGAGGATAAAATTGACGGTCAGTTCAAGTCGAAATTCACCCTCGTAGACCAGCGCGGCATCGTCTACACATCCAAGGTCCTCATCATGGCTACTGGAGCTTGTTTAGACAAACTCCCAGAGATCCCAGGCATCGAACTGTGCGAGAACTATTCAAATCATGATCTAGATTTGAAAAAATATGAAAACAAAAACGTCTGCATCATAGGAGGTGGGAACAGTGCATTTGAGGTAAGTTTGACTCATTGTAGTATTTTACATATTTTGTTTTTCCTATCATTCATCATTTTGAGGTGACAATATGACACTATTACATGCAATGCATTCCGCTGTCATCTTTCAAAATCTTGATCAGCACTCTTTAACCCGTCAGAATCCAATTAACATGTTTAAACTGATGCACTAGCTAAGTTTATGGACTATTTCATAAATGGACCTCTTTTTTACATTGTTTAATGTCCCGAATTACGTCATATTTGTGCATTTTACCATTCAATGGTGGCTATAATTTTTTCCAGACTGGCAACCATTTAGCAGAGACAGCAGCTAACATTCACTTCGTCCTACGATCACCAATCAAGTTTGCATGGGACACCCATTTCGTTGGTAACCTGAGAGCCGTCAACAACACAGTGCTCGACATGTACCATCTCAAATCTATGCACGCTCTTAGAAATATCCACCCCACCAAAATCTGGAAGGATGAGGCTACCGGCAAATTTAACATGGAGCACGATCTTCATCTTCCTCATTGGGAAAAGCCAGGAACTGGACATTTCGCAACAGTTGGGCTTTATGATAACATAATTGTTGCCACCGGCTGGAAATACATCGATCCGGAGGTCTTTGATGCATCTGCACTACCTGGTAAGGCTAATATATCATACAGGTACAATTCCAATATGTTTCACCTGAATCTTCTTTATGGTCCTCTTTACATGAACCAGGCACATGTCTCGTACAGCATTATAATGTCTAATAATAGTTATTACAATGGTATTGTTAATACTTCAAAAGGACACCACACCTTCAACCAAATCAATTCTTGTAATCTTTTATAAAATGTGTTACCCTTCTCTTTTTCAGAGATCCACAGAGAAGGCAAATTCCCCAAGCTTTCCCATGAATGGGAGACTACCGTCCCTGACCTCTACTATGCTGGCACAGCTATGCAGTCCATTGACAGACGTACTGCTTCAGGGTTCATTCACGGGTTCAGGTACCTTTGCAGAACACTTTACCATATCCTGAAGTTTAAATACGAGAAGGTCGAACTCCCAACCCAGGTCTTCGAGAAAATCAACATAGACTCAATCATCGATCACGTCATTAGTAAGTACACTTGAAATTAAGTAACTTTTTGAAATAAATAAAATGTGAACACATAACAGGCGTATATATTTTTGCTTAATCCTCTTGGTATTTCTTTAGTTCTAGTTATTCTCCTAACTTTTTCTTGTAATCAATAAATGTAATCTCAAATATTATTACTGGCAGCATTTCTATTAATAGTCAGTATCACGTGGTACACAATAAGCAACGCCTTATATGACAATGCTTCTGTTTGCAGAGAGAGTCAGTACCACATCAGCCCTTTACCAGATGGGTCAGAGTTTCCTGGTTGACTGCCTGTTCTTTGATATCAAATCAAAGGAAAGTGAGGACAAGAATGAATATGATGGAACTATGAACCACGTTATTGAGATACCTAGCAAATGGTTGTTCGACCAAGACTTCTTCAAGAAGGCACCCTGTTGCTGGATGATCGGACTTGAGGATCAGCACGACAGGTACGTCCATATCACTATTTTATGCAAATAAAAACGCCAATCACATAAGTGATGGAGAGTGTAAAATAGAATAGTCTTGTGGTTTTGGATAGCGATAAGTTTTTGAATAGCGGAACCTTCTGGTATTCGTATTATATCATATATATTTCATATACTTCATAAACTCCTTTATGTTTAGATTCGGAGATGTCCACATGTCCAGCTTCTTCACTCCCCCAGACATGAACAAGACCCAACAGCCCTGCTCTGCCTTTGTACGCCCAGTCCTCAGAGTTTTCGAATACGGAGAATTGAAGCACACTTTTGAAATGAACGGCTCTATCATTGTGAGAGCTGATGTACACATATACCACGAGGACCAAACCCCACAGAGATACAAGAACAAGCTCAAGAACTTCGTCCACAAAACTGTAAGTGTAATGTTCTCGAATAATGTCGAGTTTCTGATACAATGTTTCTTTGAACGTTGAATTATTGTTTACGATGCAATGATTTTTTTCTTTGCATTTGTTGTTCTTTTCTAAATTTTGGGAAATCACTATCACATGCTCACCACATCACATTATCATTGGTGAAGAGTTTTCTATTTATATCTTGGAATGCATTTTGTGTCATACCCTCTCTATGTCGGATAATGATACTGCAACTTTAAAACGAGCATGGTAAAACAGACTGTTTTTGATACTGTCCTTTGCGTTTCTTCTGAGTAATCCCTATGATTCAGGACATTAATAACTTCAAGTACAAATCCAAGAATATTTGATATTATCTCATACTTAACCTTTATAAACCTTTATATACTTACAGATGGGTATTGGAACCAATGGTCACTATGAGAAGCTGTTTGAGGAAGAGCTATGGGCCAAGAAGTTCACACCATGGACTGAGGAGCAGAAAGCCGAATACAAAAAGAAGGAACAGATGAAATTGGACATGATCCAACCAGCAACATGTTCATTTAAACCGAACTTCTAAGTTTTCTTATAAAATGGACATTTCAGAGGTGACATTAACAAAAAGCTCCCTCGAAAAAGGACTCAGACGTGAAAGGTTTTACAGTCATATACATAACATTACATATCAAATGCATTATTTATTAAAACCTTTCATCTGTTTAACATATACATAGACGCCATGCATCATTCTTTGATAATGCATGTTTTGGTATTGTACATTTTTGTGTAAATATTTGGACCATTTTGGCTTAGATAAGATTTCGGTATTCCAGTAAGTGTCAAACTGTACAGAATTACAAAAGTCAGATTAACAAAAATAATTATTATGTAAAAATATTTGGGAAATACAAGATAGAAACAAAAAAATTTAATTACCCTGTTGTTTCGAATATCAAGGTTGATTTTACATTCTTTCATATACTGATATAAAGTGGGTATCAATGAGGATACTTCAATTTTGTGTATTAAAGACATCATACTTGTCCATTTGTTTAAAGTTTAATATCTAAAGCAATTAAAACATAGAGTCTTATGTTTCTCCAACATTATTTATTTGACAGCTAATAGCTGGAAACTCACACTGTAATTGAATCATGTTATAGTTCACCATCATATGACATATATATGCATTTTTCTTGAACACTTCTTGACTTAGGTATTACAAATGGATGAAGGTATACACTGGTTTAACCGTATTTGTTAAACATGGCATCAAGTTTGTTCACTGATAAATGAGCATGCACACCATGATCACTTTCCTTTAAATCATCATAAGTGGTGACACATTGTTATAGTTTCCAACCTTTTTGAAGAGGGTTTTCGGCGCCCGGCGCTTAGCGGTCGTCGGATGTAACAAATGTCATGTGGTGACATTAATATACACACATTCTTCTTACTTCTACATTAAACTAAATGAGCCATTGTAATCCTTGTTTTTTCCATGTGTCATAATATCCACACATTATTTTGTAGATTATTTTAGAATGATGCTGATACGTTTTTCCCATTCCTATACTTTAGAGGTATTTCCCTCTCTGGTAAAAACGTTATGTCCTTACTATTCATTGTTATACTGCCAATTTGGAAATTTATCACACACTGAAAATAAATATGCACGTACATCTACTATATTTGCATTTCTCTAACAATTCGAGATAAATCTATTTGTCTGCAATAAATAATATTATTATTGAAATTGAAGCAACAACAATTCAAGCGATTTTACATTTTTGGCAAACACTGTTATGGCTTGTTTAATAATTGCCATGGTTGTGTTATTTGATATGGATTTATAATCCTGTTACTGCTAATCACTTTTATTCACTGACTAAAGCTACATATTTACATTTGTGGAACTTTGATTTCACTGTGGGAATGTTATACAATTTCTGTCTCACTTACTTTCATGTTTTTCAAAAAGTCCAACCCTAGACAGAGATCTGGACCATCATCTATAACACGAACAGAAGATAATTTAATAACAAATATCTATGAGACGCATAACCTGGAATAATTCAGGTGGCAATTAACCAAACAAGTAAACAATAAAGGACCCACGGCCCTGTGCTCACACAGTTTGGAACCTTCAGAGGAATGTATATCCTGACTTTCAAACAAAAATGTTGATTTGGATTTGTAGTCTCGAACTTTGAGAAACTTAGATAGCACAGTTGATGACCTTCGACCTTGAAAATTTTACTTATTCAAGCTCAGTAAGGTCTTTTGTGATTAAGCTGACCATTTACATCCAAAAATCAATTTGAAAAATCATGCAACTGTTTTACCTTTCGAATGTCACTGAAGGTCAAGTAAACATCAAATCCTAAAAAACTAATGTCAGATTTGAACTCCTGGCAAAAGAAAATTGGTCAAATTGAAGCAAGTTGAAAAATAACTTATTTTTACTGTGTTTTTGTGACGTCATATATCTCAAAAACGGTAAAAGTTTGATGCTGAAATATATTGAGCAATATGCAGGAAATGCTTAAATGTAGTAATGATGTAATTCATTGCAAGAAATGATCAAGTATAAGGCAAACTTTGAGAAACTTGTCAATCACAAAACCTGCCATTGACTTTATACAGGAGAAAGTTTCTTGAAAATGACGAAGTCCTACTTTTTGTCAAATTTTATGGAGTAAACACCAAAAACTGTAATTCCAAGAGCTTTGAAATCTTCAGAGGACATAAGTTGCATATACAGCAACTACTACAAGTTATTTGAAAGTTCTACTTCAACAAAGTGTCTAGTATTTACAGAACATTTGACTTTTTGACGTCAAAATCAGCAATTTCTCGGAAACCGGGCGAACTTGGGAAATGGCGATGATAGGTCAAATAGGCATTATGGATATGCATAAAATGAATGTGGATATGACTCAATCCGAATAGCAATTTTAATTCATAGGCTCACTGTGTGAGCCAAAAACAATTAAGTAAAACAAAATATAATTAACCAATTCAAGCTCTAAAGACTATCTCATAATCTAAAGTCACTTACCGTGAACATATAAGTCAATAGAGAGTTTTTCAGCGAATTCTAATTGGACATTCTTTACTAGGCCATTCGTATTTATGCCATTAGCTACAGCTAAGCTATTATTTGTTGATTTCTCCAATCTGAAAGTTTAAGTAAGCGATTTATATTATTGTATTTATGCCTGTTGTAGTCTATTATATTAGTATTTTCAGAATGAAACGTTCCTTGATGTTCTGGTCCTGGATTGTGATGTAGGCTCTCGATTAAGGGGAGGGGATGTTAGACATTATTTCTTTCACGTTAGATCATGATTTTTGGAAATACAATAGGGTATATTTTTCATATGGCAGCATTACACTTAGAGTTTACCTTTTCTTGCTTGGTTTCATTATAGTTTTTGTTTTGGCCCTTTCCCTTTTGTACTTGTGCTAAGATATTTAAATACATGGAATGTAATTAATTATTCACGATTCATACCTGCAAACCTTTACTGCGTCAGTGGATATAGTCGAAAATGGACTAGATGTATTTAGCAATGCTTTTAATTCCCTACCATTGCACTGTAAAGTATAAAAATCTGTTTTAGTTTTAAAATCATAAAATTAAGATTTTACGTATACGATATTCTGTTCCAGGTTACTCAATGATAAGAAAATATTAAACAGGGAGTCTTAATTTAGAGACAATAGTCGAGTAAAATAGATAGAATTCGAAGTCATTGTGTAACGCCTTTAATAATTCACATAGGACACATATACCAGGTACAATATATGGTGTTTTAATGTGTTATTTTCAACAGGAAAGGATGTTTTAAAGGACAACAAAGCGTGTGATATATCAAAGTTGATATCAAGAGTGTATCACAAGGTGTTGTCGATCACACAGGCCAATCAGTTCGCCAGACATTTCACAGGCATTGGATAAAATGTTTAAAAATATTAAAGTATTTACTTTAAATACTTACTTTACACTTAATGAAAGGCAGTGGGGGATATTTTTGCTCAAGATCTTCAGTCAAACCAGTAAGTTCCTGTTCCCGGCTTGTGGTTCTCCTTCTACCAGTTCGGGGACGTTCTGTCGGGGTAAGGGACTCTCTTGTGTTATTTCTTGACTAAAAATAATAAAAATTGAATCTCCTTTAATATACGGGTTCAAATATTTCCCTGAGGGATAAATGTATAATGTAACATTCATGTTATACATGAAACTACCGCAATCCCATGGTTACTCTAAATATAATTGTATATATTACGAGAGCTAAAAAGGCAAACACAATTCAAAGGACGATTCTCGGTTTGGAGAACGAAGTTCATCAATCTAAATGAGCATTATCCCTGCTTCGGACAAATTTGATTTTTTTACATAATATAGATTTAAATGTCTACTTTTGAACAGTCATAATTTAATTTGGGTAATATTTCTAGATTTTTCGCGAAAAAATATTAGCACAGTACACTGATGAACTTTTTTCCCCAAATCGAGACATCTTGTAGATTTAAATGTCCTCTTTTGAATATTTATAGTTTAATTTGGGTAATATTTCTATATTTTTCATTAAAAAATTATTAGCCCAGGAGACTGTTCTCCAAACCGAGAATCGTCCTTTTAAAATTCAGGAAAATTCGTATAAACCCCTAAGTGATTGAGTCCACACATTCTAATGGTAAAAATAAATGTACAGATGGTCTTACTCCTTTAGCACTTCGGGGAGATATGGACATCCCCTGTAGACCTAGATCGGGGTCTTCCTTTCCCAATGGAGTCTTTAAGCGACGCTGTTGCCTTCTATTGGCCTCTTCTAGAATATCATCCATCTTAGGTTTTTGTGTATAATTTTAAATTTCTGTTGCAGAATACCCCACACATGTATTGTCCATTCAGTAGTTTGGGGTAAACGCACGAAGGTCTACATAAGCCATCTCGATCCGTAGGGTAAGGTTTGTTATCTTTCCAATGGACTCCTGCTATAGGTATGATCCGCTCTTTATAGCCAGTATCCTTCTAAAATAATTAGAAATGCTCGACTATTACTTTATTATAATATATTATTACCACCTTTTCCCCGGGAAATTAGATATCGTTCAGTGCCCTCGGTCCAATATTACACTATATTGCCCTTAGAAATGACGTTATTGTACTATTATAGTAGTGTACAGTGTACATGTTTTGTGAGTATACTCCTATACAATTTAATTTACAAGGCCTACATTCTATATGTTATTTCATTGATTCGTGTTAATAATTGATAGTACCCTGGTAATGCATTAAAGGACAGCATTTCATTAATATTCTTTAATAACAATACCTTATCCTTTACGAAGTCGAACGAATGCAAAGGGTACTTATCCTTTCTGAGCAAAAATGATTCGTCATTTTGCTTTGTTTTGCATTGAATGGTCATATATATGTTTTAAGTCAACTTATTACATCTTTATTTCATTTCGCAAATGATTTCTGATCTGAGATAAAAAAAAAAGAAGGCCATGGTAAATCCTAATGCCTTATCACACCACTCAAAAACAATTTATTTTTTCTTTTGAATGAGGCAAGTGAGTTGTGATATGATCGTTATGACAACCCATTAGCATATATCTATTAAACATGATACTGTATATCAGCTGATGACTATTTAACTGGGAAAACATAATCCTTGTACTTGCTGTGTTTAAGATATAATGCGTATATATACGTACCCTCGCTGGCATCAAACTGCCCCCATTATGTTTATTCTCAAAATACAATGATCAATTATTTTCTCAATACCTTAATAAGATAATATATAAACCAATCGATTTCTACCAAGCCATACTGTACTGCTATTCCAAGAATCAATGTTACAGCATCACTATTAACAAGTACCTTGCGAAGGAACAACTAGCCTGATATACCTTTACATACTCATATATTGACGAATTTTTGCTCAATCAAGATCACGTCTCAAGTTAACTTATGTACTCTTGTAGATCAAAGTACACGTTAAAGTTTGGAACTAATTCTAAAATATCTGTCATCTGTACTGGAATTTATGTGGGTTCAATGTTCTTTGGAAAAATGAATTATGAATACGTATGTGGTATGCATTTGTTCACTTACCTATTGGGCATCAATACAGAGAATATTTCAATCCCGATCGTCTTGCACGAACCACCAGCTCAACTACTCAAGTGATGTGTCCTTTGTGGGTGTTTGACGTAGCTCCCTTTAAAAGTTTGCCAGCTGATCTACTATTAGTGTCTCAACCAGGTTTTAGTTTCAGGGTCTTAGGCTTAGTAAAATAGTGCCAGCTTTATATGTCTACGAGCATCGGTAATCCGAGTTGTAGGCATATATGTATAAAGTCATTATTCCGCACTATACTATTGATCCATTATATTGATTGAACGAATAAATAAATATAATGTGTGCGTACATTCAATGCCACGATAAGTACCTGGTAAGGTTTGTGTAGCGACAGCGGGGTCAATATAACCAGCCACATTTCAATAGACTAGATAGAGTAGAAATAATCTTGATTTACGTCATTAATATTCAAAATCCAGTCAAAGTGATGTCATATTTGAAATCTACATGTAATAGTACATCTATAAATCCGCTTTTGAAAATTGTTTATCATCTCAAATCTAATTTTTGGAGAAAATTTTCCAGTTCGAGGAGATTCCCCGTAGACCCCAAGTTATAAAATCACAAAAAGTGAAATATATTTTCTTGTATTTGACAGATGATAATATGAGATAATCCACCGGGAAACATCAGAAATATTTATATAACTTTAGCTGATTCGGCAGGTCGGGCCCTTGGCTCAGTCATTAATAGGAGTAAGTTATCAAATGATTTTGGCTTTAAAACTTTTTCAAAACTGTACAATTCGTGTGTATTATCAGTACTGAATTATGCAGCAGGGGTATGGGGATATGATAAACATGCACTTTCCACATGTATTAATATTCACAATAGAGCTCAGCGATATGTTTTAGGGGTACATCGTTTTGCCCCACTAATAGGTGTATATGGGGATGTTGGTTGGCTTCCTTTGAAAATAATTCATAAGCTGGAAGCTGTTAGACTGTGGAATAGATTTGTATCACTTGATAATGATCGTTTAACAAAGAAAGTTTTTATATGGAGTAAAAAGAATAACACTGTATGGATAAATAACATTAGAGATATTTTATTATCAGTAGACATGGAACAAGATCTTGTAGATAACCAGGTTGTAAGTTTAGAATATCTGGAAAATTGTTTGATGGAGAGCTATATAATAGAATGGTCAGAGGCTATAAAAGCAAAACCCAAGTTGAGAACTTATGTTACATTTAAGCAAGAATTTAAAACAGACAAATATCTCATGTTAAATTTTTCGAGGTTTGAACGTAGTTTAACTTCACAGTTAAGATTAGGCATACTACCACTCAGAATAGAAACAGGTAGATACAAGGGTGAAAGTGTAGAAGAAAGACTTTGTATTTTATGTGATGAAAACAAGGTTGAAAATGAGGCACATTTTTTATTTCAATGTACTAGATATCATGATATAAGGTTAAAATTCTTTCAGAATCTTGACCTAAATAATTTAGAAGAAAGTGAAAAAATGAAACTTCTTTTCAATGAACACACCTGTAAGATAGTTAAATATATCAAAGAAGCATTTATTAGAAGAAGGGAATATATTTATAATCATTGACTTTCTCTTATATATACTTAACAAACAAAGCATTACTGCTGAAATTTGATTTTTATAATTTGTAAAAAGTGGTTGATAAGCCCAAGGTGGGCTGGGTAAATTATTGTATTACACTGTATTACTGATATATATTGTATGTAAGACCGACCACTATAATATGAAATAAACTAAACTAAACTAAACTATATAGTAATAGTACTTAAAAATTGCACTCACATTCACCAGTCTTTTTAGTGGGGGGGGGGCATCAAAAGTTCAATGGCTGATATGAAACTAAATGAAACTAAATAACTCAACTTATTTCAAAGTATTATGGTTTATTTTCGACGTTTTGAGTTTTGAGTTTGCCCCCCCCCCCCCTCCCCCTGCCCCAAAACTAAATCTCGAAGGTTTTCGTGGATCTGGACTTTTTTGGGGCAATAACCTTTAATTTATTTAGAATTTTTAAAACATGTGACAACAACAATAGGCATAATATTCTATGTCGCATGCATCTTGAAGAAGAAATCATCAGATAAAATCTTTATTTTTAAACCATTCCAAGACATTTCGAGTCAAAATTGCAAAATTTGACGGATAGCAAACTGAAATGGCAATGACCCCCAACTCAAAATATTCGGAGATATAGCTTAGATTCCATTGATTTTTGATGATCGGTGGGTGTCTTAATACCTGTAAGCGTCTCCTCTCCCCTTCCTTGCGACTTTTTTGTCACAGAATGAAATTGTTATGGGAAGCATAGGCTAAATAGTGAAAAGGTAATATGGTGTTAAAACTGTATCAAAATTGGACATCTTATATTTATGTGATATCTCAAACACATAGAATAGCGTTTAGCAGAATACATACACAATCCATGTACTTGATTTCATACACGGTTTGTTCGAGTTTGTACACTTTATGTTTGTAAAATCACACTTGTACATGCGTATTTGTGTATGCATTGTTTAAAAATGACATCGAACAGGGTACACAAGTCGAACAAACTCTTGTGCGGCTCGCACAAACGTTTTCCCCTTCACAAACCATGATGTGCCGATCACACACCTTGATGTACCGATCACACACCTTGATGTAACATAAATTGCTTTCTAGAGATGTTCGAGATTTTGTTCTAAATCTCGCGTTACTTTTGCACTGAACGAAATAACACACCAGCGCGGCAAAAAGATAAAAAGATCTAGTTTGTAGTTTCTCAATATATGGCCACTGTACGTCTCCCTAGACTAGGGCCTAGGGTATCCTATTATATATTTTTAATTTAAAATCTACATTTTATCACATTTCAACGAAGGGCGCCATATTGTAGAAATCAGGATGTAAATATCACGTGACTTCAAATCTCGCACCTTGTGTGAAGTGCAACTTGTTTGTGACAGCCTATGCGAGCGGGAGCCATCCTATGCGAGTTTGAACTCAATGCGTGTGTAAAATTGACACGTTCGTTCGAAATTTACTTTGATCCATGAGTAATTCTTTCAGTATTCTATGCAACTTATAACACAATCCGTGTGACATTTCAACATTGCTTTTGGATTTTTGGAAAGTGATTTGAGATAGTGCTAACTCTTTGTGTGACACTTGATACAACCAGTGCGTGTGTGAATGAAAATAAGTTATGTAAGAAAATTAACTGTTGGTATAACATGGATTGAAAATGGCACACGATGATGCGAGTTTCGCATATAATTTATAGTTAACCGAAGCTTACCTGTAAGGTGAGGTTTGACTGTAATTCTATCGAACCATATGCAGCAACAGAGAGATTATATGAGATGATGACCATCATCTGACCAGCACGCTTTATAGTACCAAATGAGTGACCACAGTTAATAGCAGCAACAGAGAAGAAACGGGAGGGAAAAAATAAATAAATAAGGGAAGGGCATATAATCTCTCTGTTGCTGCATATGGTTCGATAGAATTACAGTCAAACCTCACCTTACAGGTAAGCTTCGGTTAACTATAAATTCTATCTCACCATATTACGCAATCAGCGAGACTATATGAGATTTGAAAGCTGTGGTTACTCATTTCCATTTCAAGTACAAGTAATCTACACTTGTACATCATTGGAACTTAATTTACAAAATGAGCAACAAACATTTTAACTTTAGGTTTTAACTATCTATTTGATCATCAAAAGATCCAATTATAAGATTATACCATGTGGTTATTCAAGTACTGTACTTAAGATATATCTCTACAATAGAATTTGTAGAAGGTTTTTGCATTTGTCCATCCTGCACGATTTAATATATTGTTTATTGGAATGCCATTTTGCTTTTCATTTGATGAGACTGCAGCTCTAA